TCTACAAATATTTCTCTTTATTTTGTTCTAATAAGCAGGGCATATGAAGACAATTTTGTGGAACAGTGAATATGGTACATTATCCCCATTAGGTACATTAGGAGTTTCCTGCTGGCCTATTGCTGCTCTCACTGGCTGCCAATATTGCTGTGATTTGAACAGGAACATAGGTTGAAGTAAAGAGCTTTTTGAAAAAAACCCAGACAATGTAATAAGGTTTATTACATCTAACTACACAAGCACTGGTTTTCAATTATATTTCTCTGTGACAAAATTGAAAAAAATATCATCTAATCATAGATGATTTTTTTTATTATAGTTTTTTTTTTATTATAGACTTCACAGCATGCCAGTATGCAAGTGAATGTTAGAGAGAACACAACTCCTGTAACTGTGTGCTGCTTTTTGCTTAATTCATTTATTGACTGCTTGATTAGTTAGTTTGTGCAGTACTTAGGAAATGTAAAACAGTAATAAGTGCTAATTAATCATTTATATAACATTCAACTACAGCTGCAAATTGCAAAATATAACAAAAAATATGAACTGCATACTGGCGAAGTCTATGTTGCTGGTGAACTTCCTTCATTAGGGAAAACAAAAGGGAAAAGCAGTCATAGACAGCAATCAGGGGACTGTAGCTGCAGAAAGCCTGCTCCACAGTGAGCAACAGAAGCAAGAGATGAGGTGAATGAGTGATAGTAAAAGTGCTGCCCAACTGCTGTATTAAGGAGAACATATGGCAAAAGGAAGCAGAACTGCAAGGGAAAAATGACAGTTTCATTGAATTGCAAATGAGAGCCAATAATTTCAACATCCACTGTGACAGAATACTTCTGTGTGTTATCACAAGCTCTGGTGGATGCTGCCTTAGACCAGTTAATGAATGGAACCATTTGATGCAACAGCATTTAGTGCAGTAAGGGTGGAAGTGGAAGAGGTGCTCCTGATAATGCTTTCTGATGACCTAATGAACCTGCTCTAACTGGAACAGCACTTTCTGCTGTCAGAACAATTTAAGAGCTGAGTGATAAAGAGGGGACAACATTTATCACTTCTTCCAAGTGCAAAATCATGCATAAATGGATGAAGCAAATGGAAGAGAGTACCTAGTGTTGGAAAAAGAGCAGGAGAAAGCATTTAGTAGTATGAAACATGGAGAAAGGACAGAGAGATTTGCTGCTCTAAGAATAAAACTGTTTTGAGTTTTATGAAAACACCCACAATGGATGAGTAGAAGAACTTGAACATCATTTATGCCAAAAGTTAAACACCCGATCGTTAACAAGAAAGAAAGAAATTAGTTTGACTATTATGCAGATGAAAAGGAAATCCTTCCATAATATTTCTGCTATGAGTTTCAAAATTGTACAATGTATAATAATGATAGTTTGAATGTACAACTAGATATTAAAAGGTAAAACTAATGGGACAAAAAATGAAAAATTAAGTAAGCAGGAATATTAACACTCGTAGATACTATTGTTTCTATCATATCAAAAGTTTTCCATATGAGAAGAAAAGAAAATTTTAATGCAACTTTATGAAGAGCTGCATTTTCGTTTCTTATTTTTTGATGGATTTATCTTCTTTGGCCTGCCAGTATATGAAAACAGTCTGCAGAGATGATTTAACAGCACAACATACAAGGGTTTTTCACATTCTTTAAATATAAAGAATGCTGAAAAATGTGATGGAGGCATATACTAAGAGATAAAGAAGTGCAAAAACCATCTTACTGTACCATTGTTAAATTAATCTAATCCTGCACAAAAAGTCCATCAGAGTTCATCTGTAATTTTCCATTAATTTGCTCTGGCACATTATTAGCTCTTTTTATATTTAATTTTTCTGAGTCTTCCTTTTCTTGATTTGGGGAATTACCATTGTTTTAATTGTTTATTCTTTATGAAGTAATCTTTACAGTCTGATTCTAAATTTAATGCAAGCAAGGCGAAACATTTTTAGGTATTCCGTATTTTATCTTGTTTACCATAACTATGGCCAAGTATCCAGGAATTAGTGTTTTATGATTCTGGAAGGCATTGACAACATTATCTTTCAATGGAGAATCTTAATAGGAGATGCAAATCAGAGTTGTAACTTAATGGTCATGGATTGTAGGAAAAATTTGTTAATAAGTTTTCACAAGAATAGGTAATTTTTGCTGTCTCTGGGCTAGTCAATCTCATAGGAGTCCCATAGAATTCAGAAAATACCCCCAAATAGCTGAATCTTCATGACATGCTACAAAATCTTTTATTGTTTAAGCTTGTAATGACATGCTGGGTGTTACATGGTGCATGACTCACATTCCTAATGAAGATTTTGTAACAAAACTGGCAGTATCCTAAGTATATCTACATCATTTTCAACAGAATACTTGCTAAACATTGTATAATGGAAAATAACAAACTTAGGATAGAGAAACATCCTCAGAATATAATCAGGTTGTTTCTTCAGATGGCCCTTGCCTTTTTCCATATTTTAGTTAAAAAACTACTATGACTGAAAATCAGTTCTCAATATGAAAAAATTCCTTTCACCATATTTTCTGAGCAAGTACAGAGTAATTAGTATTTTAATTTTCCCAATTTACAAACATATTCCCTAACCCACTAGAAAAATTCTTCTTATATTTGGAACTTGTTACTATGCACTTTTCAAGTTCTCTTTTTGTTAACTCTGTGTCTCTAAAGTCCTTGTATTTAAAATGCAGTAATATTTATAAAATAACATATTCAGTGATGGATAATTCAGAGATTTTTTTTTAACATAAGCTCTTGAGGAAGTGATTAATAAATGCACTGGGAAAATAAGCAATTAATGTCTTTGGCACTGTCTCTATATAATGTTGGCTGAATGTCTGAATGTGTTCACTTTGTTCCTTTGTGGCCTGAACTGCTGCTTGGTAATTATTGGCTTCTGTCTGCTACATTACAGTTCAGAGATGCTTTCATTCTAGGTTACTGAACTCAAAATACCAGAACAATACAGTATCTAAGTTCTCCAGCACTTGAATTACTCTCAGTTGTAGCAACCACTGGTAATACAAACATCAAATGTGTAGAGTTTCATGCTTTTAGTAAATAAATTTTTTGTTCTGGACTTCCTCCACAAACCACGTCTCTCTAGGTGTTTGGGATCTGACTGCCATGCTGAATCCATCACTAAACAGTAGCTTTCACTTAAATATCCTGGCACTCAAAACTTCTCTGTATGGCACATTATAGGCATGGCTTGAGTGGTCAGAGTGTCCATGCATAAATCCCAGCCTGTAATTTGCAAAAAATCTCCACAAGGGAGAAGCATTCATTTAAACTGACATAGACTTCTCCACTGACATTCCACTTATCAAAAAGTTAAAAACAAAGTGATGAGTCAAGTGTAAAGACTTGAAGAAATGAAATCTTGTAATGAAAATTCAAATCACTACTCTGAATGCTGTATTAATTTTATTAATAATTTTTCAATTAGACTTCTGGCCTCAAGCAATCAAACTACTTCAGTCGTGTCAGCACTAAAAATGGCTAAGTTTTCTTAAGAAGTAGACACAATAGATGTTATTTAAAAATAATTTTAACAGGAAAACAAAAAAACCTTTCAGAAAAAAAGCCTTTATTTGGCATGCAACTACAATGACTACTGGCTTTCTGTCCAAGAAAGTATGACTTGATGGGTTTTAAATAGCTTCCTAACACTGTTTTCTGAATGGCCTGAAGAAATAAAATTGTGAGGCTGATTTTACATTTGCAACCAGAATGAGTCACAGCTAAAGATTTTTAATGCACTCTTTGTACAAAACATCATATAATGACATCACTGAGCATAATTCATATTCATTGCAAATTGCTTTTATAAAGAAATTGCTAGTACAATTACAAAAAAAAAATGGTAAAATAAAGTTTCATCAAATAAATTCACCATGATTTTGTTTTCATTTCTAGTATGGTAAAAATTAGCCCTGTTACTTGGCTGAATGTTTTGTGGCTTTCTGTAAATGCAGATTTTCAATTGAAGTTTTACAGTACCAGACGAACAATTCAATCAGACCTCTAAACCAGGCCTGAATCTAACATGTCAACTGCTCTGCTGATTACAACCTCTGACAAAACTTTCAAAACAATCACATCAGGAGAAGAAACATAGATAGCAATATCATATCCTGCTTACTGAACTGAAACAAGAGCCTTCCTACACATTGCTCAGGATTACTATTGTGCAATACCTTTACTGAGGCCCAGAGTGAATAAGCATAGTGTGTTAAGGTTGGCAAAGTAAAAAATAAAATTATACAGTAACCTTTGTGATTTACCAGAGCTGACTGCAACAATAACCAAAGTTTCCTTATGTCCCCATTATCCCCAGTCATGCTCCAATAGTACCCTTTTTATCTGGGAACATTTTTTCCTCAAGCATAATTATCAGAAAGAATGTTTTGTAGCAATTTACAGTGTATCCTAATACTGAATTGCAACAGACATTGAAACCAGGAGGCTCAAGGAAGATCCAAGTCATAGAACGGCTGCCATGGTAGGAGGCTGATCTACTTCAGGTCCCAAAGGTTAGGCTTAAGGTAAGCATGAGGTTGTAGTTACTGGCCTACAGTCAATCTACCTCATCTATGCGAGCAGTTACCTTTCCTGACTTATTTGCTCACTGTCTAAATTAAAATTTCTTTTTCTATAGCTACATTTCCCCACAATACTTTCTTTCATTTTGAAGGCAAAAAATATACAGTTGACGAGTTTCAACTTGTGACGGGCAGAAAACTGTTGAAAACCACACAGTACCTCGAAATCCTAAACATCAGAATACTGGTGAATGAAGGATTTTGTATGTAAAAAATTGAACTGGTTTTGTATCTGTTCTGAAACCAATTCAGTGATGTGTCATTCCATACAGGGAGATGAACGGAAGTGCCATAATTGGAAATTTAATTGGCAATACCGAAGTGGAAGTTATTAGAACTCAAAACCTGAGGGATTGATATACAATACCAAGGAGGATGGTGTTTGCCGAGCTGTTCCCAATGCCATAAGTGGCTCAGCAGCACAACCAGCAAGTGTAGCCTCTTTACAACAATCTAGACAGAGATGTCCTATGCACTTCTGTGTTGTGTTTCTCTACGATATAAGAAAAAAAGGTATAAGAAGAATAGAAGAATTTGAGCACATTTAGTTATGGCATACAAGCATATTGAGAAAGTTAAAACAGTTTTCAAAGTAATCATAAGATATGAAAGAAATTATAAATATCCCAACTCAAATATCAATATAATTAAAAAAAAAATCCTGAAGAACCAAAAAGTTAGCAGTTTGTCTTTTTTTTCAACCACCCAGTTTAAAACTGTTTCTCTGAAATGTTATTTCATATGCAGGGCCCCCATGGTCTTATATTCTACAAAGCATCTACACAACCTGTACTCCAGATCACAGCTATTTGAATGCTATAAAGGAGTCCTTTTCACTTCATTTTAACTGTACTTTTAGTATTTTAAGTTAGCTGCATTCATATACACAAGTTCACACTGCCTCTAAACATAAATTTTGGGTATAACTATACTGCAATTTTGGCTGTGTAAGGCTACATAGATAGGGATAGTGATGTGACAGTCCACTGCAACAGGACAGTCCTGGTTTCCTCAGTGTCTTTAGCCTCAGGTTAGCAAGGTCTTCAAATGCAAGTGAAGTTTGCTTTCACCAGCAGAGGGTTCTGCAGTGAAGGACTATTAATAATTCTCCTTCTTTTGCCTTTCCCAAATTGTTTGCATTTTCACAATCTGCAAATGAATTGCATTGTTTAGTTTGCCAATGACTCACTTTGAGTACCAGACACACAAGAGGAGGTCAGAAATCCTAACTGTACTAATTAAAATACAATTACTGATTCATTTCACCTCCTTTTATCTATCCAGAGGGCTATAGAGAACCAGCTGGTGTGTCTATATATTCATAATATACACATTTATTTTGTTATGTGAGGGAGGTATATGATGGGTTTGGTGGTGGGGGTGGGGGACTGGATCACAGTTTTTAAGGATTTGTTTAATGACTACATTTCTTTTAACCATTCCTCCACAGTGGGAATGGTTTGTTGTTTCATGTCTTTAATGTATATATATATATATATATATATACATATATATATATATATATATGTATATGTTTGTGTGTGTGTGTGTGTACATACATATATATACTATATATATGTACATATATATATATATATATATATATATATATACACACATATGTGCAATGCCTGGAACACTAAGTCTTAGATTATTGGTTGGACTTCCCACATACTGTAGTGACCCCTGCATTAAACAGCAGCACCATAATAGTATCAGGAGTCTTTTTTGATGGAATGCATTAATGGAACAAAGCCCTGATTCACAGTGTAAGTGCATGAGGAAAAAAAATAAAGCCAGCTAAATCAGGGGGAATGTTACCAAAGCAGGAAATGCTTTAATACCAGAGGCAGCTGAGCTCCCTCAATAGAGCTCACTTTGACTGCAGGAGGAAGGGATGGATAAGAAATGGAATTCAGTTGTGACTGAATTAGATTGGTATGAAAATGTGTCAGATATTTGGGTTTAATTTTGTTTTGCAGAACCACGGGACTGTCCTTGGGGAGTTAAAAAGGTTTTGATATAGATAATGGCATAATGGTGCATTTCTGATGAAAATAAATTTCAAGCAAAAAAGTCAAGAAAAATTTTATCCTTACAACAAATCACTACTTCGAAGTTGCAGGATATTTTTTCAGTATACACAAAAGAGTAGTTAGGCAGTTTTCAGAAAGAGTATCCCCTTTTGATTTTTAAAGCTCCATGTAGTGTAATAAATTGCCAGCCATAAGAGAGAAGATGGTATGGAACTTCATAATGTTAATTTACTTGCAAAATGGATCATGGTTTTCAGAATACAGGTAAAAACAATTTACCAACTCAGTCATCTGGGAACAAAGCCTAGATGCCAAATTTTCAAAAATCTAGAAAGGCACATGCAAAGACAGATGTCCATAAGATGTTCAGAGGTAGAAAAAATTTGATTAAATGTTTATGGATTTCAACTGAGATGACTGTTAGAAAGATGCTCTATTTGAATGTATAGAAAATATGGTATTTCATGACCCCTCCTCCCCAGTTTCTTGGTATTTTAAAAGAAAATTAACCAGATTATATGTCTCATTATAGGTTTCTGCTCTGGGAAGACATGCAAATTATTATTCTTTCAGTAGGAATAGAGATGGAATCTTTCTTAACCTTCTAACTATAGTTACAGTACCCTGATGGAATGCATAGAAATTGCCATTCAAGTGAATTACGAAAATGTCATTCAAGTGACCTAAACTGAACCAACATTAACACCTATCTACCAGCTCATGCCTTGCTGCACTCATGCTGGAAGAAATGGGAAATGTTACCAGGGAAAAATCACGAAAGCCTTTTTACCCTGTCCTAGTCTACAGTGCAATATCAGGTATTTTAAGCGATCTCATGCTGACTGCTTCTCTTGTTGAGGAATACTACAATCAATAGTTCAAATGCCAGATTCCCAAATTCCATCTCACTCTATCTATTCATTTGAAAAGTAACTCTATTTTGCCTTTTAAAAATGCTTACAAATTGACAGAGTAACTCTCTCAAATTGTTATCCAACAGAGGCTGGATGAAAAGGTTTTACAATTTCTAGAAGCATACCTAGTCAGAAAGAGTCAAAGGGTGTACTTGTATTGCCCAAAGCAAGGTTCTTTTGAGTTCTGCATCTGCCCACGCATGACATTTGCTCTCATATATGAATATTTCCTTGTCAAACACAAAACCACTTCAATCTGAATCCATTTCATAAAATATTCCATTTCATAGAATATTCTCCCCCGTTGTTTATTTTACCAGTTTACACACAGTCTAGTATGGCCATATTTGTGCAGAGAACGACGTGTAATGTCCCTGAGATAGAAAGCTTTGTACTTTTACCGCCTCTTTTTAGAGACGGCAAGAGTAGCAATAATGGAGTGATGAACTGGCTATAGAATGACAACTGTCTTAAAAATAATCCCTCAAAGAAGGGCTTTGGGAGAGAGGGTGGAAGAAAAGGAAGTATGAAACTGTAGAGGAATTCAATCAAGCAATCAAAAAAACACAAGCTCAGGAGGTAAGAGCCCTGCTCATACTATAATTTATCAATGGAAAATAGCCTCAGTTTAGGGTAATCTACTGTTTTCAGAACTGCCTAAGTGCAAAACTTCTAAAACTTGTGAGAAACATGCCATGGATTTTGTCTAGATTGCTCCAGACTGTAGCACTATGTTGGGATTTTTGAGGTAGTTTGAAATAGTTTCAACAAGGTGCAGCAAGAAGATCTAAGCACTGAGCTCCATGTTGATAAAATTTATTTATGTTAGTACTTAAGCAGGTTGGAGAAATGATTAATATTGATGTTGGACTAGATGGATCAGTTGTAGTGGAAAATGCTAAGCCCTTAAAAATTCACATTGATACCATGCTTAGAAGAACTCAGCAAGATAACAGAAGATGTTTTGTTCAAGCTCACAGGCAAAAGCATAATTCAGGTGTGAGCATCAGTAGAAAGAATGAGAGAATTTTTTCCCAAGTTGTGCATTTTTTGGGAAGTACCACATATGTCCCAAGTACTCCTGCAAAAATCCTTCCCTGTATACATATGCACTCTAGTCATCAACAACATAAGGAGATGATCAAATCTTAACTTCCTCAGAAGCCAAACCACTGACCCATATGCTCTGGGGAGGGAAGAAAACTTCCTAAGCATTGTTCACGTGCCAAAACCTGTATTTCCAAGAAGACTTCAGAGGGTAGGGTCCTGCCTGGGGCAGAAACCACTCACTTGGTTGCACACATCTCCAGTGCAACATGCAAGCTCAGACCACTAAAAAGCAGAACTCTCTCCCTCTTCCCCCTCCTTCCACAGCGAAGACATTCATTAGAGGAATGTTATGATAAAATTTACTTTGAAGTCTTTCTATCCTCACTATTTTTAACAGATGATTCAAACATACTGTTCCAGCACTAGCAACATGGTAATGAGTTTTTCCACCTGTAACCTCCTCTCTTCCCGTAAACTGCTCACAATCCCCTTCCTGTTGGATATGACAACTCAGCTGCACCTGTAGCCACTCCCCAATCCTACCCCACTGAATGCAGTTTAGCCTGAACTCTTTTATTGTTTCTTCATTGTTGACTTTTTTCTTGTTCTTTTACTTTTGAAGATTGATTTGATTTCACTAAGCATCGTCCAAACTATTCAATTCTCTGAATGATAAAGAAAAGCTGCTATATCAGAAAAAGGATTAGTTGCTTGCAAAATAAAACAAGAAGAAATTACAGATGACATGATCTCTCATTTAAGGTCTTCTTTTAGACACAGAATCTCTGAAATAAAATAGCTGAATTCATTGTACCTTACAGTCATTTTAAATGCTCTTTTGAAACACTACACTATTTCTTTTCATTGTATTGAATAGCCATAACATTTTACAAAGGCTGAAAAAATTTAAAGTCTACCACAAAAAAATAAGCAATTTATCATTTATGAAGGGGATAATTCATAGTCTCCTAAAATTTTATTAACAGTTTGATTCTTTTCTCTTGCACTTTAGATTGACACCTATGTGCTCAACTCAAATAAAATCATTTTGACTTGTCGCTTTCTGTGACAAAGTAAATAAAGCCTCTTTCATACAATCAAGCTGTTAAAGAAAATTACATATATATTAATTAATGTTTCAAAAGGTTTTTAATAAAATTATATTAAAGATGGAATTATGAATCCTAACATTTCAAATTCAAATTTGCACGTACTGCTCATGTTGAAATCATATATCTGGAAAAAAGTAATGAAAGGGCAAAGATATAAATATATCATGATTTCATAAATAGAGCTTCTGGAGATATTTCATGATAATCATATTCCCTGCCCAGTATACAAGAAGTAAAGTTGGTTTTTTTTTTCATAATAAAATGTTTATTTTCTCCTGAATGACATCTTCAGTCAGGAGATGGATGCTAATTTCTAATAAATTGTCCTCTAGATAAACACACTTGGTTTAACATCTTAAAAAAATACTGTTGTGTTTTGCT